CAAATGAATCATTTATATCAACCCAAGTGACATAAAACTTATCCATATTTGTCTTCACATACTTGACTTTCATAAAAAATCCATCCTTATGACACTCAAGATTATTTTCATCCTTCTTTTCTATGGAGTCATCGTCTTTAGGCTTATGATCTACGGACTCATCAAAGACGCTACTCCACTCAATCCAGATGATGTTACCATTGATTTCTATGGGAATTATATCCTTAAAATCTTCTATAATCCCTGAATACCCCTGTGCTTCATGGCTGCCTCTGATGCTATCTTTCAATACAATTGGTCCATAAGGCGGCTGAGGATGATCTCCAGGATAACGAAAACACCACAAATTCCTTGCCATTTCTAAATCTATTATCTCAGGCGTATCTCTATAAACGTAGGAGTCTTTTGACAAATCATTTTCATAGATAACATCACTACTGTAGTCAATGTCGTCCATACCAATGCCGGTTAGATTGAACATAGGGGTAAACACTTCAAACGGTGTTGAACATCTTATCGGATCCGCGGTTATCACCTGTAGCTCTTCTTCAAATTTGTCTTCTGATTGTATGATATCCGGTAAAATCACTTGATTTCTGTTGAGACCGCAAATCACGTGATCGCTCATAGATATATCTCTACACCATTTTTTGTCTTCATTTTCATGGAAATGACGAAAAACCCGCACTTCCTCATTCCAATAATCCTTTTCTATTTCTTCTTCACTAATCCAGTCTGAATATAAACAAAATATATTTAATGTAACATAATGTAATTAAATATATATTAATAAATCACACTATTATTATTAGCACTTACATTCTCTTTTTCTTTTACACATTGGCTCCATTAGATCTGTCTTCCGGAGTTGTACAGTGAAGGCATTTGATTGAAACGCTGTTTTAAACATTCGTTTGGCCATTTCTGTTGTTTCTATATTATAGCTATTAAAAAATAATATATTTCATACACTCTCTTGATTGACTAAATAAAAGCACACCAATTAAGTACTCTATTTATACTAATTGAGTTCACAAATAGTACGTATATTGAGAACCAATAATAGCAAACCAGGAAATAGTTATTGTTAGCCAATGATAACTACGCTTTGTTTGCTCATGCACTTGTTATACCTATTTTGTATTAAACACTACATAGTGAATGCTTTCTACTAAAAGAATTATAATAGTCTATGTTTTTAACCTTTTATATAGTAGTATTATATACGTCTATATTACTTTTTAGTTCCTATAAAAGACTAATTAATGTAGTCGTAATATTTTCTAATATGTCTACTAAAGTAATTCCCGGATGTGATGGTTACGCTAAAATTATTTAATTGGTTAAAAATAATCAATTAATTAAAATAACCCAACATTGTCCCAATTATAGACCTTTAGTCAGTGTTTGTTTAAATTTAGATCAATATCTATGGCTTGTGTCTATATTAAGATACCAAAATTATGGCTATCGCAATGAGAAAGGCACTGAACTATACATCGCAAGAGACCCGTATCTAAAATTAACTATACTTTACCATAAACAACTTAAAATAGCTGCAATGATATTAACTAAAATGGACATTAAACATTTAATTAAATGTAAACATTGGGTTCTAAAGAATTTCCAGGAATCAGTAGCTGAGCCTGAGGACGTGATGAACTTATATTGGGAACCAATTACTATTGAGCTAACATAAGTCACTAACATTGTTGCCACATTTTCACTCAAATGTACTGTAAATTTGGGTAACTTTGCGTCTTTCATTGGTCATAAGGCATACTATGACCCGCAAAGATTTCCATTACTGATCATCGATTACGGCGGTAAAAAGAAAGCCAACATTTCCCGTACTGGTAAAGTTAACTTAACTGGTGTTAAATCTATTGTTCAGTTAAATGATTTATATTCAACATTTTATTTAGATTATTTAATTTATCCATAGATATTATGTTTACTATATAGTTAGTGTTTATTAATTATACTCAAACTATTAGTTTTTTACATAAAAATATTTTATATTTTATATGATATTTATAATATATAGTCAATGTCAATTATAAATATCGACTATTATTTTTTATTAAATATATTGTACATATTTTTGGTTATTATTATTAGTTCACTTAGATAACAACTACATGTAAACTACATTAGGTGGTGCTACTGATGACTGTATATGTAATTAAATAAAGTTTAATTAATTATATTAATTAAACAAAAAGATACGCTCAGAGGATTATTATTTTAAAAAATAGTATAAAATATAAATTTTTAATTAATATTGGTTTTAATACAATAACTAAGTTATTTCGATCACTAAATAACATTTATGTTAGTAATACAAAATATCTATAACAAGTACTATAATAAGTATCTATACTTGTGTAGATGTAGTTAATGTATTTTATATAAGTAATTAAATTTTAATTAATTATATTAATTAAACCAAAAGAGTCGCCCAGAGAAATATTTGCTTAAAAAATAGTATAAAATATATATTTTGTTATAAATATGTTTTTAGTTTAATACATTAATTATTTCGTTGATTTTATTACAATTTACTTATTTAAATGTATAAAATGTAACACAATTGTATAGACGATGTTACTGTATTTTGTACTGTATGTTATTATATTTTAATTAAACTATAAGTGAAGCGTGGATAATTGCTTTAAATGTTATTATAGTAATATATTTATTATTAAATTATATTTTTTAAATGTATTATTATTGTTTAAATTATTGATTAAATGTTTTAATAACCAATTGATTATAGTAACATCTACTTTACAGTAGATGTTACTATAATAACTGTTAAATTAAACTATTTTTTATTAATTATACTATTTTTTATTAATTATTTTTATTTAATATTATTAATTTGTATTTTCATTTCAATTTATTGCTGTATTTAATTTGTTTTAATAAAATTATTAATTTGAAATTTGCGCACTTTTTTTTTGACCATTTTGGAGGTCACTTGATTGCATCATTTGTCACGTGGTTTGTATCACGTGACTAGGTAACAGGGGGCAATTTTTTTCAAAATCGGGGACAAAATATGTTGACGTAATTTATGAACATTTTTGAACGTTATTTATGTGAGTACCGGTCATTGACCTATTACGTCATAGTGGGAGGGGCTTAGAGTTCATTCCAAAGGTCAATCAGCACTAACTATTACTACTGTCATTGTATTGTTGATCACTTGTTGAAATTTTTTATAAATCATTATCACCTTTTAGTTAAAAAAAATTATTTTACCTAAATCTTCAAATGTCCTAAAATTTGTTAATTATAAAAAAGTTTAATTATTTTTTTAAATCAAAATATTTTTTATTATTATTAATAATATACAAACCTTGAATGGTTTTCTCTATTGATTCAGAAAAAACAACAAAATGTATATTAATTAATAATATAAATATAAAAACTTTTGATAACATTTTAATTTTTATAAAAATTCTATTCAATATATGTAAAAGTATTTATTCGTTAAGTTGTGTATTAATTAAACCTAGAGATCTAATAAAATAATATTTTTATTATATATAAAAGTTTTAGTAATAATAAAAATTAGTAGTTTAAAAGCAATTGTAAATTATAATATAATTTACGATGATATTTATTTTTTTAATTGAAAATTGTTTATTTATTGAAACTTTGAAATGGAAAGTTTGACATAAATAATTTATCCTTATCATTTTCAATCGTATTACTTTACATTTTACTTATCATTAATAATTACTAAACAATAAATTTTGAATTTTAATTATTATATATTAAATAAATTTTTTTTATTAGGAACTAGTGTTTGTAATAATTAGTGCATTTATTTAACATATAACTTATATTTTTTTGTGATTAAAGATATTAACAAAATAATTAGATATATAAACGATTGATTGAAAACTAATAATTATGGCAAAAGTTTTAGTCACATAAACACATATAACAACATATTTCGAAAGTTAGTCACATATTATCAACTATAAGCACATATTTCACATATAAATATAAAATAATGGAAAATAATAGCTAAATATATAGGTAAGTATATGTATTATTGTGTTGAATATTTAAAAATAAATAAGCATTTTATGTTTATGAATGTATAATAGATTATTACTATTTGTTAATTTTAGACAAATACTTTAACATAAAATTTCGAATAACTTTTAATGAACAAAAACCGAAATATTAATTATAAAAACATAATTTCAAATCAACCAGTTCAAATAAATAATAATTAAATGTCCTTGTTTAAATGAAGTTTTAAAAAATACTTTTTGTATTATACATGCAAATATTGTATTATATAAAAATAAATAATACCTAACCGAAACCATGCAATACATTTACAGTTTACATTTTTAATTGACACTCATAATAAAACTGTAATAAAACAAATAAAATCCCTAATAAAATTTTCCCTTAAAATACTATTTTATTTTAATGGATAATATAATTTAAATATTGATAATACCTAAATTGAAATATTTCAAATAAAATTTAAAGAATAAATTAAAAATTTGGATGATATGATGAGGGAAGTATAATATTATGAACCCTAATGGATATTAACATATTTATTTTCAAACAATAATGGGTGCTTAAAGTGGCAAATATATTAAATTTAATTTTAATAAACTATAATTTAATAACATTAAGAATTATTGAGAACATTAGATATAGATTTTTTTAAAGATCATATTAAACTAAAAATTAATTAATTATTTAAGTAAAAACAATAAACTATTTTTAGAGGAAATTAATTGTTATTTAACATTTTTATTTTATATAAAAACATATTAAATAAATGAGAAATAAAATAAATGTTAATTGTACTTTTATTATTATTATTAGTGATTACTGTATATTCTAGCAGTATAATTAAAAACTATAAAATTTTCTAAAATTTTAAATAAAATAAAATCATAAAATTTTTATTTTTTAAAACTAATTAATTTTCCTTTAATGTGTCTGCCATTAAAACACTACAAGTTAACATTTGCAGCAATGTGTCCGCCGTCGGCCACAACAATACTGCCGGTTATAAACCCGGCCGCCGTATCACTGGCCAAATAGGCAACAGTGTTGGCAATGTCTTCCGGCTGTCCCGGCCTACCGACCGGGTATTTGGCTCCGATAGCTGCAAACAGTTCATTGTCAATCTCATGACAGGTAACGCCAGTGTTATTTACAAGAAAGTTGGTCAGTATTGTACCGGGACTTAATTGTTGGCAAAAAAATTTAATAATAAAAAATTAATTATTAATAATTTATTTAATTATTATTAGTTTAAATAAATAAATATTATTATATAATTATTAATAATTTTCAATCAATTACTTGACTGAATTAACTCTGATATGATGTTTGGGTCCCAACTCTGCGGCCATACATTGGGTAAACATATCCAGCGATGCTTTGGACATACAGTGCGATGAATAACCCTTAAGCTAGTAATACATTAATACATAAATTTAATAATAGAACAAACAAAATATTAATTAATTAATAAAATACTTTTGTTGTTATTTTTAAAATTATTATTTAAATATTTAGTAAAAATAAATTACTTACCTAACCTTTAAGCTAGTAATACATTTAAATAAATTTAATAATAAAACAAAGAAAAAAATTAATTAATTAATAAAATACTTTTTGTTGCTATTTTCACGAATTCCTGAGAGGAATACATATATGAATTCTATAAGTCGGTCTGTCTGTCCCACGAGGACATAGGTTCGAATCCAGACTCAGCTACGCATTTTTTTGTTTTTTTATTTTTTAAGTTTATTTTTAAGCAAAAAAAAAACAAAATGGTGTCCAATAATTAATAATAATAAAAAATTTTAACTTTTGAATTTTTAAAAAAAAATTTTTTGATTTTTTATAGTTTATTTTATCAAGAACATAGAGAAAATTGTGTCAAAATTTTTAAATTTAGATTTGTGTTAATTACTAATTAAAATTAAAAAAGTAAGTAAATTTCATATATTTTAAATGTTTATTTTAAATAATAATGTTAAATAAATTAAAAAAGTACTTGTTTAAAATGAACAATTTTATTAAATTAATTAGTATAGAATTGTGAAAAATTAAAAATTGAGTAATAAAAAATATCTTGCTAGTACTTTTCCATAAACTCTGACGTAATAGTAAGTGTAGTACGTTTATAGTAAATTTCCATGAACTTTGATGTCATAGTAATTGTCGTAATTTTCTTGTATTTTCCATGAACTCTGAATTCACAGTAAGTGTCATACCCTTTTTGTAGTTTTCCATGAACTTTGATGCATAATATGTGTCGAACTTTACTTGTAGTTTGGTTTGACCTCTGATGCATAATACGTTTCGAACATTACTTGTAATTTGGTTTGACCTCTGATGCATAATAAGTGTCGAACTTTACTTGTAGTTTGGTTTGTCGTGTTGAGCGACTGCTCAGTAGGCTGACAAATTAGTATATAAAGACTGCTATTTCTGCAGTTACCATCATTCAACAGTCTAGCTTGGTTGGCTAAGCATCCTCTACAACAGTAAGAGTAATTTGTTGACAAATTTATAAATTATTTATTAATATTTGAATTTCTCAACAGATGGCTTTGATTGACGAATGTTTGGTGTGCTATGACGTATCGGAGCTGCTGACGCCCGAACTTTTGTGTGAAACATGTGAGCATCACATTTGACTGAGATGTTTGTACAATGTTTAAGAACTGAGCGTCATAAAGGCTTCATTAAACTTGTCACGAATTTCTGAAAGGTCTGTCGGTCTGTCTGTCCCACGAGGACATAGGTTCAAATCCACTATCCGCTACAAATGTTTTTTGAATTTTTTTTTGAATTTTTTTAGTTTTTAAGTTTATTTTTTAGGAAAATAGTAGTTTATTTAGTAATACTGAATCGTTTGATACCCTACATAACTATAGTTGATTTTATTTTATCTTACTGAATTTAATTTTTAATTATGATTAGGAATTCGTGTGGAAATGCTTTCTAGCATACTCAACTGGTTAAAATTATTATTTAAATATTTAGTAAAATTAAAAATAATAATTAATTAATTACCGTTACTTTTGATCCATTACTCGATATATTGATAACATTGCCACGAGTTTTGGTCAAATGGGGGACACATTTGTGTGTCATATTTACCGCTAAATACAAATTTGTTTGCATAACATTTATAAACTTTTCATAATAGTCAGCACTGATAGGATCGGCTAAATGATCTATTCCTGCATTGTTGACCAATATATCCAATTTGCCAAACGTTTGAACAGTTGTCTCAATCAGTCTATTGAGATCTTCTTCCCGATTAAGATCGCCGACAACTTCCAGTGCTTTCTGTTGTTTTGGTGATACATCTGTACATTGTTTGGCCACTTGTGCCACACGATCGGCATTACGACCGGTAACTACAACATTGGCACCCGATTTGGCAAACAATAGAGCAATACCGGCACCGATACGTGAACTCGAACCAGTTATCAGAGCTACCTTTCCCGTGAAATCATATGTAACAGACATTTTGTTTTAAATACTTTTTTAAATTTTTGTTAATATATTATATATATATTTTTTCTAAATATTTTTTGTTTTCTATTAAAACTTTCTAAACTTATAAACTAATATTTTATTTAAAAAATAATTATTTAGGTTATTACATTGCAAATAATTATTTTATGAAATAATTCAATTTATTACTGTATTGTCTATTCATTGGCAATGCCATAAAATTTTGTACTTAAATGTATAATATATTGTACAACTATTTCATGAACTCCTGAAAGGACTACGTATATGTATTCTATAAGTTTGTCTGTCCGGTGTCCTATAAAATTTTTAAATTTTGATTTCAGACTATCATTTGATAACCCACATGACTATATTTAGGTATATTTTGACAAACAGAATAATTTGATACCCCACATGACTATGGTTGTTTATTTTGCTGTACTGAATCATTTGATACCATACATGTCTATGGTTGGTTTTATTTTGTCATACTGAATAATTTGATACCCTACATACCTAAGGTTGTTTATTTTGTTCTATTGAATAATTTGTTACTCCACATGATTATGTTTGTTTATTTTGCTATACTGAATCATTTGATACCTCTCTTTACTATATTTAGGTTTATTTTGACAAACTGAATAATTTGATACCATACATGTCTATGGTTGGTTTTATTTTGTCATACTGAATAATTTGATACCCTAAATACCTATGGTTGTTTATTTTGCTATACTAAATCATTTGATACCTTACATGACTATAGATGAGTTTATTTTGACATACTGATTCATTTGATACCCCACATGACTATGTTGTTTATTTTGTTATATTAAATAATTTGATACCTCATGACTATAGTTGTTTTTAATATAGTTCTACTAATATAGTTTTTGATATTATTTTGATTTCAAATTGATTTTTTTATAATTATATTTATTAAATTAAATTTATAATTTTTCTATATTAATGTCGTAGAGTGTATTGTAAATAATTTGTATAAGTTATCATAAGTTTTCCTATATATTATATTAATTAATACACACATTGAGAATGATTAGCAATTTTTCCAATTAAGCCAAATGTTAATTACTAAGCAATTTTCAATTTTACTTATAAAACAGAATATTATTAGAAATGAACTATAAATACAATTTTATAAAGACTACTAATTTTAATTATTATAAAAATCTTTTATTTAAAAAATATTACTTAAATTAAATAGATTTTTTTAGGTTTAATTGACACTGTTTTTTAAGATAAATATAAGAAAATTATGTTTTTGTTTAATCAATTATATTCATTAATAATTATATCGGATTTATGGACATTAATATTATATTCATTATTTGTTTTTCTAGTTTACAAATTAACAAAATTTTATTATCAATATTATAATCTACCTCCCGGTCCGTTTCCATTGCCTATAATAGGCAATATGATAAGTAAGTTATAAATAATAATATTAATAATAACAATTAAAAAAACATAGATTTGTACAGTTTTTATTAGTAAAATCATATCATATATATTATAATATAAAAATTTATTTTAATTAATATGAATTTAGCTACTTTGCCAAAATTTTGGGATGACTCAATTAGGGATATGTATAAAAATATGGACCAATATTTACTGTATATTTTGGTAATACTCCTCAAGTGTTTATAACCGATGCCGATATCGCTAGACATGTATTTAGTAAACCTGAATTTTCGGGACGACCTCACGATTATATCGGTAATCAAAAAAATATCTATATATAAATATATATAAATATTATGTATACATATATATTGTTGAGAAGTCATTAGACTATTTCCTAATAACAGCTCACAAAACATTGAATTTAATTAAAAATTTATTTAAATTATGTTATAAAAATATATAACAAATAATCAAAAAAAATTCTTTAATAATCATATTATTTAACTAAATTTTAATTAATAATCAAAATTATTACATTTGTCGGCCAGTTAGCCGACGATTACGTAAAATAAAACGAAACGGTAATAACAATTAACGTTTATTTTATTAATACATAAAAACGAATGAATATGCGATTACAAAACGTATAGATATATATAGGATATGTCTGTGTCGACATCTGGTCGACAATTCCCCCGACGAAAAGGAGTCGGTCATCTATCCGACGTCACCATAGTTGACCAGAGCTAACGCGGGAGCTAGTCGTGTATTACGTGACGTTTTATCGGGCGGTTTTCGGTGCGATTTCGGTATTTCAACGAATTTTCGTCCCAAACTTTCGTTGATATTTGCGGACAATTTGCGGGCGTCACTCATAAACAATGTTATCGGTGTTTTTGAAACCGAAAGTCGACTTATCGATAACTGTCGCTTATTTTGACGGCTTTTGATCGGCTTTTCGGTGGTATCGATGTTGTTGACGGATATGATAGCTGTCTGAGCGATGTTTACGTTTTCTTTCGGTTCGGCGGTCCGTGGATTGACAGTAGAGGTGACGGATACCGATTCGGTTTGAGAGACAGCGCTTTTGTTGACATTAATGCTGTTGTCGTTTTTGGTGTTCAATACAATGTCTGTATTGACGACATATGCGTTACACGAATGAGCGGTGGCTATTGACGGACTAGACATCGGCATCAAATTGAACAGTCGTCGAGCGTCCTGACCAATGAGTGCGGTGTGGTTACAATCTTCGACGACATGAAGAGTCAAATAATCTGTTTTATTTCCGATTGTAACCGACACGTGTGAACTACCGATGGTGTAGACCGTGCCGACAAGTTGTTTGATGGCCATTATTTTCGATGGGTCGGGTCGTAGTCGAAGTTTTTGCGCCAATTGTGACGATACAATTGATACGGTGCTGCCGGAGTCGAGAAGCGCTTTGAAATACATACCGTTGACTCGAAGGCCGAAATAATCGAAATCCTTGACGTCATTGGTATTGACTTCAGCTGAGGACGAGTTGATGGTTCGTGTGTTGGTTATTGATCTGCTATCGGAACCGTTGCGGTTCGAACCAAAGCGTTTGATTGGACACCTAGAGTGCCAGTGATACTTACGGTTGTCGGTTGCCAAACAATACCGACACGGCGGTGAATCGTTTTTCTTACGATATGTATTGCGTTTGACAACCGTTGCGGTGAGAGTCTGTTCACGACTAGTGGTCGATTGAGTGAAACTTTTCGATTTGGACGCTTCGATACCTAAGGCGACTTCGAACCAATCGTTCGGTGTCTTAACTCTCGAAGCGCCTAATAGCTGCCGATAGCTATCGGGCATACCGTTTGTGAGCATAGCGACGGTGTTGCTATCATTGAGACCGGCCTGTGATAGAAGCCGACGCATATCGTTGTAATATGCGGTGACCGTCTCATTACGATTAAGTGTACGACGAGTGGCGTCAATCAACGGGTTCGTTGATTTGCGTGTGAACCGGTCGATCATGAGTTCGCGGCACCGGTGATACGTAATGGTCTGCCACTGCGGTTCTATCTCTTCGGCCATCCAAGAGAGTGCTTCTCCGGACAGATGACGGGCGAGAGCTTTGAGTTTCTTTGTCATCGCTGGCGTCGACGGTGAGCAGCGAAAATATGCGGAACCATTCTTCGATGGTGATGTTGGCGTCGGGACCACTGTACTTGTCACATACCAGACCGATAATGCGACCAATCGGTTGATATGTACGGTGTGCAGCGTATGTGTCATCGTTATTATGTCGAATCATTGCCGATGTTTGCGTATGAGTAACGTCACGAGTAATGCTTTGATTAATCGGTGGTTGCGGCGGTTGGATCTGATTGTCGGAAGTGGACATCCGAGAGACCTGTGCTACGACTGTCTCGACATCGGATTCACTGACCTCGAGATCCTTGACATCGACACCGGTTGACGGATCATTAACTCGTTTGCGTTGACAAACACGTGTTTTCGGTGTGCCTACCGCTCGGGTACGGCTGCGGGTGCTGTAGTAGTACGGCATGATTGACACGATTGTTGACGATGACTAACTGTTGAGTAGGTTTATTGTTGCCGACTGCGCCAGAATGTCGGCCAGTTAGCCGACGATTACGTAAAATAAAACGAAACGGTAATAACAATTAACGTTTATTTTATTAATACATAAAAACGAATGAATATGCGATTACAAAACGTATAGATATATATAGGATATGTCTGTGTCGACATCTGGTCGACACTTTAATAATTACTTTCAGAGAAAATTATTTCGAAATAAAATTAGTTATTATAAAAATACAGTTAATAAATAAAATATAGTTTGTTTATACTATATTATTATCATAAATAATTATAATTATTAGTTTAATTTATATATATATATAGTTTGGCCATATAAGTATATAACATACCTTAAATAATAAATGATAATTTTTAAATATCTAAAATAATGAATATTAAAATATCTAAAATAATGAATTTTATAAAATAATTAAATTATTAGCAACATTGTTGGCTAATGGTGTATCAGTAATTGATATATATATATATATATATATGAGAGATAGGGTAAAATTTTTAAAAATCTCCAAAAAAATATTGCTTTCTATTTACTGCATTTAAAAATGCACTAAAATTTAAGCAGCATTTTTCTAAAAGTTTTTTATATTACAAAATAGATTGTAAATTATATTGAAATTTTTATAATTTTTTTTTTTGATTATTTTAATTAAGATACTAATAATTATTGAATTTTAATTAAAATTTTGCAAAATAACATTATTAGCAACATTGTTGGCCAATGGTGTATCAGTAATTGATTATGGGCTAAGTTGGAAAGCTATTAGACGTGTAGGACTAGCGGCAGCAATGTAATGTACCATGGACAATTTAAAAAAATAAAAATCTTTTAAATCAATAATAATAATTCAATAGAAAATATTCTACAAATGAACGGTTAGTTAATGTGGTGATCGATTGTGTGGACAAAACGGTGAAAACAATGTTGAAAAGGGAGGGTCCGGACAAACCTATAAAACCGTCGGACTATATCTATCTAATGTTTCTCAACATTATGGCCAACAGTTCGTTCAATGAAAAGTATAAACTAATTTTTTTATAAATATATAGTAAAAATATTATATATATATATATAATATATATATATATATATATATATATATATGAGAGTTAGGGTAAAATTTTTAAAAATCTCCGAAAAAATATTGCTTTCTATTTATTGCATTTAAAAATGCACTAAAAAAGTTAAGCAGCATTTTTCTAAAAGTTTTTTATATTACAAAATAGATTGTAAATTATATTGAAATTTTTATAAATTTTTTTTTTGATTATTTTAATTAAGATACTAATAATTATTGAATTTTAATTAAAATTTTGCAAAATTAAATGTAAAATTATAAATAATTTCTAAGACATTTATCTCGAAATGAAATAGAAAGTATATATTTCTATCTATTTATATCTATTTATTTATAGATTTTAAGCATATTTTTATTTATTAGATGGGGTTAGGGGTAAATTATAAAATGTTGATCTTAGAAAGTATTATTTAATTAGCTACCGAACCCCTACCCCTCCCCAATCATTTTCTTAATTCTGATATAAATACAATAAAATTATATTTTTAGCTACAATATCGATGACGAGGAGTTCAAAAAATTTAAATATGTATTGAAAGATATTGATAATGAATTTGTTGTCAATTCATTTTTAAATGAATATATAAAACCATTTAAATGGTTGGACCGAAAAATTTATGAAAAAAAACACAAAGCTTTTTATGATATGTCTGAATTGATTTTGAAAAAATTCAAAAACCATTTCAATGATTACAATCCAAATTGTGAACGAGATTTTTGCGATGCACTGATTGATGCAAAAAATGTTGCCCTAAGGGATGGCCGCGAGTCGGCTATCCATCTAACCGATGATCGGCTGGCAATGTGTGTGTTTGATATGTTTTATGCCGGAATCGAGACATCGGAGATAACATTTCAATGGTTACTACTATTGTTGGCCTATTATCCAGAAATGCAGATCCGATTGAAACAAGAAATTGAATCAGAAATCGGTGACCGATTGCCCCGACATCAGGACAGACAACAATGTCATTATGTGATGGCATTTATAGCCGAAACTTTAAGATTTAGAAATGTTCCGCCATTTGGTTTGGCGCACAAGTCTATGGCCGACAGCAAAATAGGTAACAATATATTTATTTAATAATTATAATTATTATAATAATTTATTTTTTAATTTAAGGAAACTATACAATACCTAAAGACACTATTTTGTATACATATCAGGGAATTATATTGAGAAACAATTGGGACACAAAATATTGGACGACTACTAATGCCAATGACTTTCTACCCGACCGTTTCATCGACACTACTGACGGTACTTATAGTACAACCGGTTGTTCGCCGGCATTCATACCGTTCGGTTGCGGACGTCGTCAATGTTTAGGCGAAAGTTTAGCTATCGCTCAGCTGTTTCTTGTTTTTGTCCGATTTCTACAATCGACACAAAACTATGATATAGTTTTAGACAGTCATCAGGGTTTGGATGCCGATCCAAATATATCAATAGTTATTAGTCCTAAAACTTATACGATTGTATTGAAGAGTAAAATTTAAAATCTAAAACAATGTTTTTATTTTAGTAATGCTAAAATATTATTACTGTATTTCAATACAAGTATATTAAGAAAAATACTGTATATTGTTATTAAATTTAAATGAAAAAAAATAAAATAACAAAGATTTACTTTACTAAAACTTATTAATAATAATTAAAAAAAATATTTGTAATATACTAAAATTTAATAATATTTTTCTATTAAAACCAATTAATTTTTTTTTAAATAAAAAATGTCAGAAAATTAAATTTAAATTAAACATATTTAGTTATATTTATAAATCTGTTTATAATACTAATAAATTTGTTGAATATTTTTTTGTACAAATATTTTCAAACATTAATAAAAAATAAAATTTTATTCATAAAAAAAGTTTATACATATTAATGAATATAAAAACTAAATAATTATAAAATAATTATAAAATATTTTACATGGAAGCAAAACTATTTAAAAAAAATATTTTAAACAATTATATTTAAAGAGTTTAAAAATGTAATCATTAATTACTAGTGAGTGTAAGCCTTAGGTGAAGCGGGGTTTGGCTATTATTCCGGTTCTCCGGATCAGTCATCCCGAGCTCCGATACAAGGCTCCCGAATACTACATATATAGCGCAGTTACCAGTGACCAGAGCCCCGAATGAGCCATTCATATATACTGTTACTCTTACTGTAAATAGTCTTCATATAGCAACTCGTTCAGTAATTACGTCACAGTTCCATATCATATATACCCGCATTGCATATTGCTTCGTAAAGTTATCTTTACGGGCTATTTGACGGTAAACTATAAACCCGAACCGTCACAATTATATAGAAAAAATGTGAAAACTAAATGAATAAAACAAATATAATACAAACAATATTTATTAGGGAATAATAATTTATTTTTAATAAAATACATATTTTAAACATGTTTTGAACATTTTTTTCTATATATTTTTTGAAATTAATACAATAGGGTAAAAAATAATTTTAATGATAGTAATAGTTTATTTCTAAATGATTTAAGGTATATGATTAACATTATCATAAAATACGTAATCAAGTTAAATTCAAAATAAAATCATTCATGATAAAACTTTTTTACATAGTGTATACACTAATGTTTATTCAAATACATTACTAATTCATAAATAAAATTAATTTTTTTATCTCTTTATACTTAAAATTGTTAATAGTTTTTGTATAGACATAGTTTTTTTTAGTTATGTATTCAATGTATTTATAATTTTAAATATTAACTGTATAATAGCATCAATTAAGTGTTTAAAAAATATTTATATTTTATTTAAAATTTTCTTTAAAAATGTTATATTTGTTATAATCATTTATATTTTATTATTTTTAATATATTTGTAGGGACCAAATAATAATTTACCTATGAGAGCATTTTATATATAGTGTTTAATAAATTATTTTGTTTTTAAGACAACTTTATTAATTTAAAATATACTTAAAAATATAATAATAATGTTATGATCTAATATTTTTTAAATATAAATTATATTAATTTTTTAACTATTAAATCAATTGAATTGAACTAACTTTAAATATTAAAAATTGTCAATTATTTTAATAACTTTATTTATTAATTAAATTTTATTTTAGTATTATAAATAATTTATATATATATATATAAAGTTAATTTTTAATAGAATAAGTTTTATTTAATATATTTTATTATTTTATAAATATTTATAAATTTAATATGTATTTCTATTAATTAAATTCAAGTAATATATACACAATAAAAAATAATATTTGTTAAATCATTGTTAAGTACAAAATAATAAGTTTAGACAAAAAACACACTTATATATAAAATATATAAAATAATAATTTTTTATATTAGTTTTTAAAAATATTAAAATAATAATTTTTTAGATTAGTTTTTAAAAATATTAAAATAATATTTTTTTTAAATTCTAAAAATTTGAAACTATGTTATCTATAGTATTAATAATTTTTATAACTACAGTACTAATATTTATTTATAAGTAAGTTTTACATTATAAATTTTAGTAAATAATATATCAAATAATTTCATACAAATAAATAAATAGATATTTTACTCGACATTTTGATTATTGGTCAAAACGGGGTATAACTGGTCCGAAACCAGTCATCGGTTTCGGCAATAATCTGCCGCTAATATGGCGCACGCGGGCCGATGTCGATGTCCAGCGTATGAATAAATATGGACACATATATGGGTAACAGTTTATTATATCATAATCATTAGTATTTTAAAACTAATAAAAAATAAAAAATAATATCTATTATCACATTATTATACTTAAAGTTACTTTGACGGCAATCTACCGGTGCTTATGATTGTTGAACCAAATCTCGTCAAACAAATCTTTGTGAAAAATTGGCCAAACTTTATAAATCGGGCAAATCGTGCCGTTTTAAGTACACGACAACATCCTATACTCTGTCACAATATAGATGAAGCTGAAGGTCGGGACTGGAAACGGATCCGATCTATAATGAGTACAGCTTTTACATCGGCAAAGATCAGGTCAATGATGCCAAAGGTTAGACAGTGTTTGAAACAATTGACAACAGTTATGGACAGGTATGCCGCCAGTGGACAGACAATCAATATGAAAGAAATGTTTGAAAACTCAGTGTTGGACACCGTAGCCGCCACTGTCTACTCTATTGACTTGAACTGTGCGGTTACTCCGAACCACCCGTTTATCATAAATATAAATCAGATTTTGAATCCCAAATGGTATCGTACGCTAGCATTGCTTATATTACCGCAGTTTGTCCTTAAGTTGATTGGTGTTAACCTACTGACCGACGAAACGTCCAACGAGTACTTCTTTCAGCTGACCCGTCATATTATAAGTCAGCGAAAAGCCAACACTGAGACGGGTAGTAGTAGTGGTGGTAAGCGCTGGGACTTTATTGAATTGCTTATGGAGGCCCACGCTGTTGAAGATCAGACTATTAATGATAACAATAAAACAGCTGAAGATAACTATAAACTTTATGAAAAGGGTAGGCATTATATTGTTGTACTACTAATGAAATGATTGTATTGTTGTTGTTGTTGCTGTTGATAGGTATGACTAAATACTTGACCGACGACGAGGTCATAGCCAACGCCTGGTTTCTGACTGTTGGCGGCTATGGAGTGACAGTTATTACCCTATCGTTTGCAACCTATGAGTTGGCCTGTAATCAAAGTCTTCAGCAAAAACTTTACGATGAGATTAAGACAGTCGTCATCAATGATGACAATGACGACCGACAACTAGATGTCAATCGGCTGCAAAATTTACCGCTACTCGAGGCAGTTGTTAGCGAAACACTGCGCTTGCATTCGCCGGCTCTCATTGAAGGCCGGATTGCCGAAAACGACTATCCATTGGACGGCCAGCAAACAGGTATAACTATCAAAGCCGGCGAAGCGGTAGAGTTTGGCATTTATGCGATGCATATGAATGCCGACTACTATCCAAACCCCGAACACTTCAATGTCGACCGTTTTCTACCGGAAAACCGCAATCAACTGAATTCCTATGCATTTCTACCGTTTGGTTTGGGTCCGCGACAGTGTATTGCCAAACGGTTTGCAATGATTAATATGAAACTAACACTCGCGACATTGGTATTGAAATACCGATTCAATACATGTTCACAAACAGATATACCACCCAAAGTAATGATAAGTAGTTTTTCAAATAAACCAAAACGTATTAATTTGAAAATTCAAGCTAGATAATTTTCTTAAAATTATATATGTAAGTTAAAGATACAAATTAGTTATAAATTTATTGATTTTTGAAAATACTACAACAACAACAAAAATAAAATTTAATTCTAAAAAATAAGTTTAAAAGTTTTAATGTTTTTTAAAAATTCTATATTTATTTAATATTTCATTACTCTCTACTTTTCCTTAAACTAAAATAATATTTGCTTAATCATAATGCATACTATAATAACAATATTTAATAATAATTAGAAAATTCATATTAATAAAAAAATTTTGATTTCATTGACATCAAAATAATAAAGAAATAAAAATTAATTGTTAACTAATAGTCTTCAATAAAATGTTTTGTTTTTATGAATATTTTATTAAGAAAAAAAATAAATATCAAAAAAATGTAAATGTAAATGACATTAAATATATTTTTTTAATATAATAATAAAACCTAGAATTACTATATTTTTTGTATTTATATTAGTTTATAAAAAATATCAAAACTATAGTAATAAAAAAAATTATAAGCCAGTTGAAAATGCTAGAAAGCATTTCCAGAAAAACTCAAAAAAAAATTAAGTCATTCATTATATCAAATGAATTGACAAAAAAAACATTAAACATTAAGTCTGTAAAATAACAAATATTTTAATAAATATAATGAATTGCAATTAAATGAATTAATACACATACATACATACACACACATACACACACACATACATACATACACACATACATACACACATACATACACACATACATACACACATACATACACACACATACACACATACATACATACACATACACACACATACACACATACATACACATACATACACATACATACACATACATACACACACATATACACATACATACACATACATAAACACACACACACACACACACATACACACAAACATACATAAACACACATACACACACACACACACACACACATACATACACACACATACATACACACACATACACACATACATACACAAACACACACACACACACACAACATTTTACTATTGCTTTTACATTTTTAAATGACTAAGTTTTTAAACTTATTAATAAAGAAAAAATAAAATATCTGTTTTTTAATAACCAATTTATAGATATTGTTCGACAAACACGTGCGCCACGTGTTCGCCTCCAACAACCCTAACAGTTGAACCGGTAACAAAACCGGCTTTCACTGATGAGGCCAAATAACTAACCGCTGACCATATATCACCAATTTGACCGACACGACGCACTGGTAGCCGGGCAGCATAGTTGGCCAGACCATCATTGGTAATACCATAGTCTGACATGGTTTCCGTAGTAATTACGCCAACACTTGTTATATTATAAATATATATAATATATAAAAACAAAAATAATTTTATTTTTTAAAAATCTTTCCCATATCACCTTTACCACACCCCATCCCATCCCCCACATACTTACACAACAACATTGACACGTATACCATGGGAGGCCAAACCAGCCGCTGCACACTTGCTATACATTTGTAGTGCACTTTTAGCCGTAGAGTGCATTGAAACCATCGAGTGCTACAATATATATATATAAAAAGATATACAGATATCCAAACATACATTTATATAGGAGATAATTATAAGTGTATTTAACAAATAATAATAATAATAATAACAAACATACTGTGCATATGTTAGCCGATATGTTGACAATATTACCACCAAAAATAGATTTCTCTAAATAAGGTACGGATAGCTGTGTCAGTCTGACAGTAGCCCTGAGCTCTATGTCTAGTAATTGGTCTAATTTTTTAGTAAACATTGGATCCAATAGATCGCAACTGTCTGGACAGTCGGCATTGTTGATCAAAATGTCTATCTGGCCATATGTTTCAATAGTTTTGTTGACCAGTAGCTGGCAGTCAGCTTCCAGACAAATGTTGGCCACAATTGGCAGTACTGTTGTTGTTGTCAACAGTGTGGACACTGCACGGCATTGATTGGCCACAGCTGTGACCCGATCCTGATTACGACCGGTGACTACAACACGGGCACCGCATTTGGCAAACTCTACGGCCATACCGGCGCCGATACCACTGCTCGAACCGGTAATCAATACTACTTTTCCATTGAAATCATTGTTTTTTGTAATAATTTCCATATTTTTTCAATTTAAAACAATTTTTATTTTATCTTTTGAAATTTTCTTAACTTTTATTATTATCATATAATTAATTAAAAAATAAATTGGAAATGAAAATAGATATATTAATTGACACGTAGACATTATATTAATAACAAAAACAAAATTTTTTTTATTATTATTTTATATTATAACATTACTTTGCAAATTTACTGTATATTTTTTAATACATTAACTATTTTTTATTTTGTCGACTCAGCTAACCGTCCATTGTTTGAACACTAGCACCCGATCCGAGTCCATAATCGTATTGATTCGGTGGGCAATAATAGTCAGTACAGTACACCTGAGCTGAACACCTGGCGAATAGTTTTTGCTGAATAAGTGCATCGGTTTCCACATATCGACGGCAGCCGTGGTCTCCTCGTCGATGATCAGTACAAATGTATGACAATTAATAGCTCGGACCAGACAAACAATGGGTTGTTGACCGACAGACAGAGAAACTTTTATTTCTAATATTTTATGACATATATGTCCATCTAAGACATCGAGATCTCTGCTTTAAGCTCTACGAGTCCAACGAGTACTTCTTTCAGCCGTCATATTATAAGTCAGCGAAAAGCCGGCACTGGGACGGGTAGTGGTGGTAGCGGTAGTTCTAAGCGTTGGGATTTTGTTGAGTTGCTTATGGAGGCGCACGCTATTGAAGATCAGACTTTTAATGATAAAAAATAAAACAACTGACTATAACTATAGACACTATGAAAAGGGTAGGCATTTGTATAGTTGTAGTAACAGTTCAATGATTGTATTGTTATTGTTGTTGTCGATGATAGGTATGACAAAGTACTTGACCGACGATGAAGTCATAGCCAATACCTGGTTCTTGACTAACTATGGAGTGATGACAGTTATTACCCTATCGTTTGCAACCTTTGAGTTGGACTGTAATCAAAAACTTTACGATGAGATCAGGACAGTCATCATTACTAATGATGACGACAATGACGACCGTCAACTAGATGTCGATCGGTTGCAAAATCTGCCGCTACTCGAGGCTGTCGTATGCGAAACACTACGCTTATATTCGCCGACCATAATGGAGGGCCGGATTGCCAAAAAAAATGACTATCCATTTAGGAGGCGCTCTTACGGGTGTTACTCTCAGAGCCGAAGAAACAATAGAATTTGGTGTCTATTCTATGCATATCAGCGCCGAATACTATCCAAACCCCGAACAGTTCAAATTCGACTGTTTTCTACTAGAAATCCGTAACCAACTGACTCCCTATGCTTTCCTACCGTTCGGATTAGGGCCGCGACACTTGTATTGAAATACCGATTCAATACATGTGCCCAAACAGATATACCAACCAAAGTATATATATATAAGCAGTTTTTCAAATGCACACAAATGTATTAATTTGAAAATTGAATCTAGATAACTTTTTTTAAAAAATATATTATTACTATGCTATGTATTTCAAATATTACATATTTAAATACCTGTAGATAAACATACCTATATAGTAGGGTATAAACATACCTGTATACATATAAGTAGTTTTTAAAATGCACCTAAACTTATCAATTGAATCTATGGATAAATTTATCTAATTTTATTATTCTAATTATTCAAAATTCAAATCAACGAATCTTATAAATAAGTTAATCTCTAATCCAATCTATAATCTTCCAAAAAAATCTGAATCCATATTATACTTGAGTCCGCCGTCGACTACCAAACTGTGTCCGATTATGAATCGGGCGTCCGATGAGCTCAGGAATACCACAGCTGAGGCAATATCCTCAGTTGCAACCTATGAGTTGGCCTGTAATCAAATTCTGCAGCAAAAAAAAAACATTACAACGAGTTTAAGACAGTAATCATCGCTGATGACAACGACCGACAACTAGATGTCAATCGGCTGCAAAATCTACCGCTACTCGAAGCAGTTGTATGCGAAACACTGCGCTTGCATTCGCCGGCTCTCATTGAAGGCCGAATTGCCGAAAACGACTATCCATTGGACGGCCGGAAAACAGGTATAACTATCAAAGCCGGCGAAGCGGTAGAGTTTGGCATTTATGCGATGCATATGAACGCCGACTACTATCCCAATCCCGAACAGTTCAATGTCGACCGTTTTCTACCGGAAAATCGTAATCAACTGAATTCCTATGCATTTCTACCGTTTGGTTTGGGTCCGCGACAGTGTATTGCCAAACGGTTTGCAATGATTAATATGAAACTAACACTCGCGACATTGGTATTGAAATACCGATTCAATACATGTGCCCAAACAGATATACCACCCAAAGTAATGATAAGTAGTTTTTCAAATAAACCTAAACGTATTAATTTGAAAATTGAATCCAGATAATTATCTTATTGTATTATTATTATTAGATCGCATTATATAACCTATACTGTATATTTATTGATATTGATATGTATATTGATACACAACAATATATTTATAATAATTTAAGATTCATTAGATTCAATTATGTTATAATGTTTAAAATATGTTTAAAATTGTTTTATTTGTTTTACTATTATATTATAAAAAATTTGTTATAAAATAAAATTTTATCTAATTGCGTTAGTTTGTTTTAAACTATTTATAATTTGTTATATTTATAAAATAAACTTTTATTTATGAATTTTTCTAGTATATTTCAAATAAAGATTAATTATTAAATATATTTTTAGTTAATAATAATTATTATTAAGCTTCGGGAAAAAAAGGGCAATAATGTGTCGCGCGATGTATTGAAATAATATAAACTATCGCGAGATTTAAATTTAATAATAATTATAGAATTGCAGTTAACATGTTTTGTTTTTTATTAGTTAATTGATTGAATACATATAAATTGATAAATTTAGTAAATAAATCTAAAAAATGTAAAAAAAACAGATAAAGTGTCGATTAAATTAAAAAATTATATTTGTGAATATAATCTAATATTTAGTTAAACTATTAATTTAGCAAAAAAATTCAACTATTTATTCTCATAAATTATTAAATATGTTTTCATTGATGTTAATTTATAAAATAAAAACATGTTAACTGTATATTTGTTAATATTAATTTAATTTAACACGAGACACATTATTGCCCTTTTTCCCCGAAGCTTAATAATTATAATAACACTTTCATCTCACAAGTGTATAATTTGATTAAAATATACAATTTAGATAATTTAGCAATTTAAATTTATTTAGATATTAAATAATCTATTTTCAATGTTTTATTTTTGTTTTGTATTTGTATATATTATAAAATATTTTTAATTATATTAATTTATTAATTAAAAATTTTAATTGTCTTTAAATTGCGTTTAATTAAAAATCTAATAATACTATTAGTAAAATATTTAATAATATTTTAAATAATAAATTTAATGAATTCTCAATAATATTTCATTTAAAAAAATCTGTATTTTGTTTTTATTTTATTTTATAATATTTTTATATTATTAAAATATAAAATTATAGGTCAAATGTATTTAATTCATTGGATGACTGTGTCATACAATAGAAATCGGATGACATTTTTGTTTTATAAAATAAATTTTGAAATTTGTTATAATAATACTAATAATAACATTAATAATAATAGTCATTTACATTAACTATTTTTTTTAATATTTACATTTTTTCAATAAAATATCCATAAAAAACGAAAGATTTTATTCAAGATTTTATTAACAATTAATTTTTATGTTTTTTTATTTGATGTCAATAGAAATTGTATTTATTAAATGAAATGACATTAGATTTTTTTTTATAAATATAATAATAATAATATAATAATAATATAATAATAATAATATTATAATAATAATAATATAATATTAATAATAATATAATATTAATAATAATATAATATTAATAATAATATAATATTAATAATAATATAATATTAATAATAATAATAATAATAATAATAATAATAATAATAATAATAATAATAATAATAATTCGTTTAGTTATTGTGTAAAAAAACAATTAATATCTATAGAATATAACATAAATTTTATAAATATACAATATAAGAAGGCGGTCAATTGATCTTGAGCCGCGTATTTTTTGAATAACTTTTAAACTGTTAGAGATAATTTAATTCTGTAAAATACATTTAAGAATATCATATCGACCACACTTAATATACACGAAATCACAAAACTAGGATGACCAGATATACAAAATATCGGGACCAACGCAAGACACTATGCTACAGGTCAATCTACAACAGACTAATTTTTTATGACAATGTAAATTTGTAGTCAAGAAATAACAGTTTAATATAAAAAAAGAATCATCAAAATCGGATTGGTACTTTTATTTTTATACCTTGTTAAATTTGTGACAAATCACATTGTATAAAATTGTCTAAAATAAAATTGACGTTATTTATGACCATTATATATTTAGAAGATTAAATTTTCAATTATATTATTATTTCTAAAAACAAAATTTTATTATGTCGACTAATTTTCGAAATAATGGACTTTCAATAKAAAWTACAMTATTGTAATTTTATATTATAATTTATATTGAAAGTCGATTATTTCGAAAACTAGTCGACATATTAAAATTTTGTTTTTAGATTTAGTGATAACATGAAAATCTTCATTTAATAAGTATATAATATTTACAAATAACGTCAATTTTATTTTAGACAATTTTATACAATGTGATTTATGACAAATTTAACAAGGTATAAAAATAAAAGTACCAATCCGATTTTTATGATTTTTTTTATATTAAACTATTATTTCTTGACTACAAATTTACATTGTCATAAAAAATTAGTCTGTTGTAGTTTAACCTGTAGCATAGTGTCTTGCGTTGGTCCCGATATTTTGTATATCTGGCCATCCTAGTTTTGTGATTGTGTGTATATTAAGTGTAGTCGATATGATATTCTTAAATGTATTTTACAGAATTAAATTATCTCTAACAGTTTAAAAGTTATTCAAAAAATACGCCGCTCAAGATCGATTGACCGCCTTCTTATATATATATATATTAATTGTAAAATTAACTAGATAATAGCATCGACATAAAATAGTTGACTATAATCTACTATTATCTAGTTAATTTTACAATTAATTTTTAAAAAATGATCAATTACAATAATGTTGCTTTATTTATATTATCTACAATTATGTCCATGGTCATTTTTAAATTGAATGTATAGTTTATCAGATATTTAATATAAACTAATGAGTAAACTGTAGACCTGTCTAACCTAATACTCTCCCAAATGCATACAGTATACCAACCCATACTTGCAATACTGTTTTAGTTGATCACAGTATCATAGCCAGGGTTTTAAAAATGGCAGGCATAAACAATATATGCCAATTTTGTCAAATGCCTGCCATGCTTTTGATTAATAAATACATTAATTGTAAATTTAATTAACACGCTTAACAATTGCTTTTTGTTTAGCAATTTAAAATGACAGACAAATAAAAAAAAGATGCCCAAAATGCCAGGCATTTATGGCATCTATTTGGTCTAAGCCAGGGCAGGAATTTATTTTCTTTAAAAACCCTGATCATAGCCTTCTCAGTGAAATAATATAAAAATACCTAAATATTATTAAAAAAATAAAGTCAAATAATATATACACACAATAAAAAAACTTAATAATATTTGTTAAATCATTGTTAAGTAAAAAAATAAATAATTAGTTTTGACATAAAAAACACATCATTAAAACAGTTGTTAATTAAAAAAAACATAAAATTTTTGTTTATAAATTTCAATGACTATAAAAATTAAGTATATTACAGTTGAAAATGCTAGAAAGCATTTCCATTTAAACTCCTTAAACTAATTAATAATAAATTAAACATTAATTCTGTAAAATATCAAATATGTTAATAAATATAATGAATTGCAATTAAATGAATTATATTGATTTATATTACTAGAATCTATATATATATATATATATACTGTATATAATAAAAATTTTTATTTTAGTTTTTAAATATATCAAAACAATATATTATAAAAAATTTAAAACTTTGAAACTATGTTGTCTATAGTATCAATAATTTTTATATCTACTGTACTAACATTTGTTTATAAGTAAGTTTTACAAAATTTATTTATTATAAATAATTAGCATCATATTATAATTTACTACAAATAGATACTTTACTCGACATTTTGATTATTGGTCAAAACGGGGTATAACTGGTCCGAAACCAGTTATTGGTTTTGGCAATAATCTGCCGCTAATATGGCGCACGCGAGCCGATAATGATATCCAACGTATGCATAAATATGGACACATATATGGGTAACATTTTATTATATCATTATTATATTAGTATTATATTAAACATGTTTCTAAAACTACTAGAAATAGATTAGATAAATAATATCTATTATCACATTATTATAATTATTATACTTGTAGTTACTTTTACGGAAATCTACCGATTCTTATGACTACTGAACCAAATCTAATCAAACAGATCTGTTTGAATGATTGGCCAAACTTTGTTAACCGATCCAATCATGTGGTCCAAAGTTCACACAATCATCCAATACTTTGTCACAATATAGATGAAGCACAAGACACGGACTGGAAACGGATCCGATCTATAATGAGTACAGCTTTTACATCAGCAAAGAGCAGGTCAATGATGCCAAAGGTTAGGCAATGTTTTAGACAACTGACAACAGTTATGGACAGGTATGTCGCCAATGGCCAGACAATAGACATGCTTCAGATGTACAAAAACACAGTGATGGACATCGTAGCCGCTTCTGTCTACTCTTTGGACTTGAACTCTGCGGTCAATCCTAATCATCCGTTTGTCACAAATATAAATCAAATTTTATATCCAAAATGGTATCGCACTCTTGCATTGATTTTATTGCCACAGTTTGTCCTTAATTTGATTGGTATGAACCAACTGACCGACGATACGTCTAACGAGTACTTCTTTCAGCTGACCCGTCATATTATAAGTCAGCGAAAAGCTAGCACTGGGACGGGTAGTGGTGGTAACGATAGTAGTGGTAAGCGCTGGGACTTTGTTGAGTTGCTTATGGAGGCGCACGCTATTGAAGACCAGACTATTAACGATAACAATAAAATAACTGAAGATAACTATAAACTCTATGAAAAGGGTAGGCATTATATAAATATACTAATAATGAAATGATTGTATTGTTGTTGTTGTTGTTGATGATAGGTATGACTAAATACTTGACCGAAGACGAAGTCATAGCCAACGCCTGGTTTCTGACTAACGGCGGCTATGATGTAACAGTTGTTACCCTTTCGTTTGCCACCTTTGAGTTGGCCTGTAATCAAAGTGTTCAGCAAAAACTTTACGATGAAATTATGACAGTTGTCATCACTAACGATGATAATGACCAACAACTAGATGTCGATCGGTTGCATAATCTGCCGCTACTCGAGGCTGTCGTATGCGAAACACTACGCCTACATTCGCCGACTATAATGGAGGGCCGTATTGCCAAAAATGACTATCCATTGGGTGGCCGTCACACAGGCATCACTCTCCGAGCCGGCGAAACCATAGAGTTTGGTATCTATGCGATGCATATGAACGCCGACTACTATCCAAACCCCGAACAGTTCAATGTCGACCGTTTTCTACCGGAAAACCGTAACCAACTGACACCCTATGCTTTCTTACCGTTTGGTTTGGGTCCGCGACAGTGTATTGCCAAACGGTTTGCGCAAATGCTCGTCAAACTAACACTCGCGACACTTGTATTGAAATACCGATTCAATACATGTGAACAAACAGATATACCAACCAAAGTACATATAAGTAGTTTTTCAAATGCACCCAAATGTATCAATTTGAAAATTCAATCTAGATAATTTTTCGTAAATATATTATTACTATGTTATGTATTTCAGTTATTACATATATTAATACCTGTAGATAAACATACCTATATTACAGTATATATTATAATAGTTTATTTTTGTAGTAAAAATATAATACAAATATATTAACATTCAATTAATACAATAACTTTTTTTTATTGAAAATATTTAAATATCAAATAAAATAGTTAATAACCATTACTGTATAATACTACTAATATTATTATTACAAATTAATAAATTTATTTTATAAAAACAATATGTCATCCGATTTCTATTGTATGACACAGTTTTTCGTTGACTTAAATACATTTATAATACAATTTTATATTTTTTTAATAATACAATAATATTAATAAATTAAAATAAATTAATAATTATTTTACTAATTAATAATACTATTAGATTTTTTTTGAATGTAACAAACTTTTTTTTTATATATATATTATATATACATTTTCAAATATGCTAGGTCATTTATTTTGAGTATGTTTTGTTTGATTTAATTTAAAATTTAAAAATAGAGTAAAAAATTTATGTTTTGAATTTTTGTTTTTATTAAAACAATTTAAATTAAATCAAATAATTATTTTTTCATATCTAACAAATATTTTCTCCTTTTATAAATAAGTATGAAAATAATACTTACTTTATTAGTTATTATATATTTTTATTATTATATAATTTTTTTTAATTAACCTCGTTAAATATATAATACTATAATATTTAGTTTATTATATTATAATATATATGATATCAGCAATTTTTAAACATAAATAAAATATATTTATTAAAAAAATTAGGTTAATTATAATTTAGTCATAAATTATTATAAATAAAAAAGATTTTTTAAAATTATTTTTTTTACTTTAAGGAAATAGGTGGGGGGTAAGGGGTAAAGTATAAATTTTTATTGTATTTTTAAAAAGCATTTATTCAACAACAAACAAAAAGTTTTAAATTATTTTATTTAATGAACTTATTTTTTTCAAAGTTATAATAATCTTTTAAATTTATATTTAACTGATTATTAGATTTTACAGTATAATAAATTTTAGAAAATTTTTCCCTAAAAAAATTACTTATAACTTATTATCCACAACAACAACAATTAAAATTTAAGGTACAACTCCTGGTTTGTATGAAAAAATGGTACGTCCACTACAAGTGGCCTTACAGTTGCCGGTAATCTTCAAGTGCTCGAACAGTGGCTTTGAAGTGGTCATCGGTTTGGTTATACATTGGCCTTCGGGTGGCAAATATATGGACCAACCCTGTAGTTTAGATCCAGCACAGGGACCATCATTGAACAGTCCAACTTCACGATAGTAGGTATCGCCTATGTTTATGATGGTTATAGGTTTAATATTAAAAATTTCAAAGAGTGGGAGAGGGGGTTGTAGTAGGACTACAACCGGTTTACCCCCCCGTCCTATGATATACACATTTTTGTATGTTACCCCACCCCCACCTCTCTCCCCGATTGTCTTAAACCATAAAGTTAAGCGGCCCCTCCACTACCCCACTAAATTTACCAAAATGCAATAAATCATATGTTCACCCCACCCTAATTGTATATTAGATTTTATGCATTAAAAATCAGTTAAATTTAATAAATTATTTTTTTTCTACATTTTAATATTAAATAATTTATTATTAACTATTTTATCTAATATAAGCTAAACTTACTAAACTTAAAAGTATATATTTAATTGTTTAGTTTTTTTTAAAAAAAATAGATAACTATATCAATTAAATTACACAAAAATAAAACTTCCAGTAAACCTATACTCTATATGCCAAAAATATTTTTGCTATTTTCCCCCTCCCTCTATATCACCAATATTTTTGCTATCTTACCCTTCCCTCTATACCCCTCCCTCTATACCCCTCCCTCTATACCCCTCCCTCTATACCCCTCCCTCTATACCCTTCCCTCTATACCCCTCCCTCTATACCCTTCCCTCTATACCCCTCATGATATTGAAAACTTTAAGTAATACCCACAGTATAACTAGTTTTTATTTAATTTTGTTGTTGTTGTAAAACTTACCGTCAATTATAGTAACAATCAGATTATATTCAGTATAAACAACTGTATGTATTTCGCCATTACTTAACACCAAATCAAACGGATTGTCCTTATGGTTGTCGGTTATAATACCATTACATGTCATTGTATTGTTGATCACTTCGGGCATCAATATCTCGACAATGTCTACACTACTGTCCGCATCGCTCTTACATTCAAACAAATTCAAAAATGTACAGTCAGTATACATCATCGGTGTTATAGCTATAGAAATAAATTATATTCAAAAAAAATATATATATATATTATAAATCATTAATAGCTATAATAGTTATATATTATAGTTATTTTCATTTTTTTCTTGAAAAAAAATAATTTTACCTAAATCTTCAAATTTTCTACAATTTCCTAAAATTTGTTAATTAAAAAATTTATTATTAATTTTTTAATGAAATAATCACAAAAATAAAATTATATTATTATTATTTTTATTAATATACAAACCTTCAATTGTTTTTTCTATAGACTCAGAAAAAACAACAAAAACTGTATTAATTAATAAAATATATACTAAAATTTTTGATAACATTTTTTTGTAGTTTATATAAAACCTATACAATATGTCCTAAAGTAGTTTATTTTTTGTTAAACTTTATTAAACCTAGAAATCTAATAAACTAAAAAAAATTATATAAAAGTGTTAGTATTTATAATCTAATTGTATTTTTAATTAACATATATATAATGATTTATCATTTATTAAATCAATATAATAAACAAAATTGTTTATTGAATAACATATACAGTAATAATAGAATTAAATATATTTTTAAAAATAATATAATAAAAATATAATTATCATTAAATAGTGATCAGTCATTATTAAAATAATATATAAATTTATATATAAAATAAATTATATTAATATAAACTAACTTATATTAAATATTTTTTTTTGATACTTTATGCATAATGCATAAGTTATTTTTTTTATCAATAAAACTATTTTGCTCTATCATTGAATTTATATATTTTTAATTTATTTAATATTTGTTAAGATATAAAATAATAATTTTAAAAAACTAATAAATATTGTATAATAAAATGTTTACCCATATATGGATCAATATTTATGCATACGTTTGACATCGATATTAGCGGCAGATTATTGCGCCGAAACCGATAACTAGTTTCGGACCAGTTATACCACGTTTTTTTTGTTGACCAATAATCAAAATATCTATTTATAGTAAATGATAGTAATTTTAAAAAAAAATTAATTATTTATAATAAATAATTTTTAAAACTTATAAACAAATATTAGTATTGTAGATATAAAAAATACTGTATTAATATTCGGCAACATATTTATGTTTTTTTGTTGTCTACTAATTATAAGCAATTTGTCAATGATTTCACAAATATTATTAATTTATGTATTTTGTTTTTATTATTATTTGAATTTATTTAATAAAATTTATGTATTTTGTATTATTTCAATTGAAAAGGTAATGATTCTGCAACTAAAACAAAATAATTAATAATTAATTAATAATAATAATACAAAACATTATAATATTATTTAGATTTTATTTATTATATTTATTTTAAATTAATATTTTTCGTATAATATATAATATATAGTAATTAGAATTTTTATTATTTATATATTTTTTCAATTAATTTAAAAAACAATGAATATTTTGCAATTCATTATTATAGTAAACTATTTTTTTTATTTATAAAATCAACTGTTTAGAAATTTAAAGTAATAAATATTTTTATTATTTTTTTAAAATTAAATTACATTAAATACAAATAAATATCTACATTAATTTTTGAAAATTAAATATATTTTTTTAAATATATTTAGATATCAATAATTTTTTGATTTTTAGTTTGTTTTCTAAATTGTAAATATAAAGTATACAAACTTATCTATTTAATAATTTTTATTTTATTTTATAAAATTACTACTATTATAAAATTTATTATTATTATTATCAAAAAGTATTTTTGGTGCAATCATTATTATTATTATTTAAATACTTTATTTATTAAGTATTTATTGTAGTATTTTTAAAAAAAATTATTTAATAATGTTTAAATTAAATATGATAATTTTATTAATTATAATAAGTTATCCTAATTATAATTAAACATTTTAGACATAAATAAAAATTTAATAACCAAATTAACTTAAACTGAGGTAGTAATAGTTTTAACAATAATTATAATAATAATATTAAAAATTTATTTTTGACATAATTTATTAAATTGAGTAAAATAACTGATAACATATTAATTATTAAATTATAAACTTATTAAATTCATATTGTTAAGTATATTTTAAATAAATAAAATTTTTATTGAAAATTAATTTATTTAACAAATTTCACTTGGCATGGTTCACATAATACGTGTTCGCACTTGAGGGGAGGGGGTAGCCTAAGAGAACTTTTGCGAACGAGGGGGAGAGAGGAGGGGTAGAATCTTTAAGTACGTTCGCATTTAAATAATATTTCATTTCTTGTGTTAGGGGGGGGTTAAATTTTTTTAAATGATTACATGCGAACAATTGCGAACATAGGAAAGGGAGGGGGTCTAGAATTCTTAAAAAGTGCGTACGTAGTATGTGAACAACCCCCTTAATATTTATAATACACTGTTATCAAATTTTATTCCTACAACATGATTGGCTCTCCATTGTTACTCTGGTAAATAACGCGCGCAAATACTGGTTTTGGGGGGAAATGAGCACATGTTTTGTCATTTGATAAAATACAGTATATGTTTAAATGTGATTTTTAATTGTGATATTAAGTGCAATTATTATTTTAAATAATAGTTTTTTAATAATTATTAGTTTTCAATCAATCGTTTATATATCTAATTATTTTGTTAATATCTTTAATCACTAAAAATATAAGTTATATGTGAAATAAATGCTCTAATAATT